GCTGCAACTTGGAGACTCAGAGAGAGGAATGAATGGACAATATGCTATACTGCAACAATGCAGTCTTCTGCATTGCGATTTCAATGCTCCATGTACCCTACCCCTAAAAGATAGGGTAGACTTTGACCTGTCCTACCTCATGACTGACAATTGAGACTCCTACAGGCCTGCTGCAACAGCTGTATGTTGTCCTGTCCTGTTCATAGGAAAGTATCCAAAATATTATGAGTGAAAGTGGACTCTTCATTAGGGACTGTAGTGATAGGACAAGGGGTAAGGGGTTCAAATTTAAACAGGGGAATTTCAGGTTTAGATATAAGGAAGAAGTTCTTTACTGTAAGGATGGTGAGGCACTGGAATGGGTTGCCCAGGGAAGCTGTGAATGCTCCATCCCTGGCAGTGTTCAAGGCCAGGTTGAACAGAGCCTTGGGTGACATGGTTTAGTGTGAGGTGTCCCTGCCCATGGCAGGGGGGATGGAACTTGATGATCTTAAGGTCCTTTCCATCCAAACCATTCAATGATTCTATAATACTAAGATTTCCTTCAAGAGACCACATGTGCTTATTGGTATGGCAAGCACAGAGGAACACAGGTATGAATTGAAGTGGATGCTCATAACTTTATTTCCTCTTTCAGTTTCTTAAAGCATAAAGTGTTAGAATGGTCCTATTAACCTCATTGATCTGAATAAAATTTTCACTGCTTGTTGCGCAGAGCTTTTAACTGCAGAGCATGCAGGCCTGAGGCAAAATAAATTTACCTGAGAAGCTGAATCCCCATGTGCATAAAAAAAAAATAAAAAGTTAGCTAGTTCTGCCCTGAAAACACTTTCTTGCTTTAGTTACATGCATATAATTATCATCTTCTGGCAGCTACTTTGCACACCCCATCACTGTTCCGCCCTTGCGTCCACCCCTTTCTTGGGCAACATGATTTCAGGTTCTTCTTTGCCCCTTTCCCTCCAGGTACAATCCAGTATTTCCTCCTGTTCCTACAAAGCTTTCCAGATTTCTGAGTCTTGACCACTGGAAATATTTATTGCTTTGAACTTCATAGTATTGCTGGAGTTAGTGGTAGAGATAAAATATCATGGTATCTCTACAAAAAGTAATCCTTTATGGTATGGTAGAACTTTTCTCAATGAGCAATTTATATTCCAGTACTTTCAAGTGTTCAGTTTTTAGGGGATACACAGAAAAATGGATTTGAACGGGAACGTACAAATGCTTCCATTCAAGCATATTTTTTATAATCTATCTCTAGTAGATCAAATGCACTGCTAACAATTCAACTGATGTTCTAGGAAAATTCTTCAGCAATAGCCTTTTCAAGGATGTAAATCTGTTGGGAAAACTAACAAGTGGAAGGTATTATAATCTGGATATCTCAGATGTGACACAAGAGAGTTTTGTTTCTGTGGCAAAACCAGAGTTATCCCTAAATAGATGGAAAATTAGGTATTCTTTTGTGTTTCTTCTGTTCTAGAATGTGTGGCCAAAGTATCAAGGCAATGGCTTCAAACTACTCTATTGCTTGTTCTTGTAGGGAATAGTTCTTGAATTAAAAAGTTAGTAGTTTTCTTTTACTTTGTTTTGGGAATAACATTTCAAATAAGGAAGGAAAAATAATTAGAACTTCTTTCTTATTTTAAGGGAAACCTAGAAGACGGTGGTTTGGAAAACAGCAGGTAAGCTCTGTGTTGCATCATAGGTGAGGGCAATATTTGCACTTCATCATTTCTGCCTTAAAAGTTTCACTGTAATCAGTGGTATAGTTGTGTGTGCTGTCCATGGTTACACAGTGCTGGAAAATTAAGGCTTTCTACATAGACTGTAGGGTCTGCTGTGCTAGTGCTTTCTTGGGTAGATTTCTGCCCACTGAATAACTAATTAATATCACATAAGGCATAGAATATGTAAAATAGTGACAAGTCAGTCAATTTATCACAGCTTTGCTGAACTGAGGCAAAAGCTTCTCTTATCCCACTCCAATTTGTTGAATTGTTTAGCTCCTTCACTATGAACATGTATTTTCTCTTGTCAAGTCCCTGAGGGGAGATTTTTTTCCCTTGTATCTTTTGAATCATTACAAAGCCTCTGAAAGATTTCACAAGTTCTTAACAGATTTAAGGAGAATTTTTTTTTCCTGTTTCTTAAACACTCCCAGAGCACTGAAGCCAAGTTCTTTTCAATTCTCATACTTGATTTGCTCTAAAGGGCCTGAATAAGCCCACACAAAACAAATTCCAAACACACCTTGCAAGGTTGCTAGATTTGTTTAGAATGTGGTGGTGATTTTTTCATTATAGCCAAATATTATATTTCAGATATGGTATATCTGGTATATGCCTGCTTGTTCCTGGTGTGAAATGGGCATTCCTTAAAACATGACTGCATAAGACTATATGCCTTATAAGGTATATATGTATTTTTAATAGGATATATACATCCTATATATATCTCAGTATGTAGAGAGAAAGAGCACAGAATTTGTGTAATGGAGAAATGGAGAATAAGTTTTACTTTATAATACTTTATAATATCAAATTCAGTGAGAATTATTAAAAAGGGATAGGGAAGAGTACTGAATTTGTTAAGAGTGATATTTCTGAGAGATCTGAAGAAAAGAAGGCTGAGGTAAAAGATCTTACTGCCATCTTCAACTACTGAGGAAGTGCTCACAGGGAAGGCAGAACCAGAGAGTGGCAACAGACACAGCTGCAGCAAGGGAAATTCTTATTAGGAAAACCCAAAGCATTCTCTACAATAAGCAGTAGTCAGAATGGAACAGTTTCCCCAGAAAAGTTGGAATCTTCATTCTGGGGATTTTTGACACTTGGCTGGACAAGATGCTGAGGAAGCTGATCTGACTTTGAAGTTGCATAGCCTTGAGCAGGGGGCTGAAATAGATCAGCTCTAAAGGTCTTCCCCAAGCTAAAGTATTCTGATTGTATATCACGATATTTCTAATTCATAACAATGGCCTGGTTCTCCACTTGAAGTGTTATTTTGACCTTTTGATTTTAAAAATAAATAATTTAAGCCTGATTTTCCACCAAAGTTAGAAAAGATGATACTCGTGTGCAAGACTGTTTCTGCATCAGATACTGAAGGAGTTTGAAGATGGCTAAAGGTACAGTCCTCAGCAAATCCAAAAGCTGACAGTAATTTAAACAGGAACAAAACAGCAGCACTTTTGATATTTTGTACATTGCTTTTCTTAAAACTAATAAAAATAACATGAATTTTTCTAAATAAGTTTTTAATTATTAAAATTAAAATGGTTAGCATAGTAAGCAGTTTACACATATGAGGTTAACATTTGACTGTTTTTTTAATAACTATTGTAAACTGTTTTGAACTGTGGTCACTTTCATGTGCTAGAATAGGTGCTATTACTGAATTTATAGAGCAGGTTTCTGCAAAACTACGAATGTCACTCTAGATTGATCACATTATTGCAGATATGCAAACAAGCTCACAATTACTGAGTCATAGATCTTGGTGCAAAGCTTATATTTATATAAGCACTTGACATATTAATCAATGTGATACCATGAAAGATTGACTCAAGTTGCCCATATCATAACTTATTTTTGCTGTGTGAAGAAAACTTAGCGAAGACTAATGAAAAGAGGTCTACTCTCCACTTGGAACATTTAGATCCTGCAGAATGGCTAATGTTCTTTTACAACCAGTGACTAAAAGTGGTGCTGATTCACTGCTTCCCTCAATGCACATGAAAACAAGACTGAAAAATAAGTACTTTGCTGCAGTATTTGCTGCAAGTAAAGATAAATGTACCAGAGATATCATGACACACCTATTAACTTGCAACTTTGCATGTGTATTTCAGAAAGGGCATTAAAGCAGTGATTTGCGTACTTGTGTAGTTTGCCTGGCTGAAAGGTATCTGTGAAAAATCTTGCTTCTTTTTCATGTTTGAAGTTTCTGATATCCAGGAAGGAAAACCCTGTACTTTCATCATTGAGAACTGTACCAGTGATTGGAAACGCTCTTTCGTAATACAGAGTGAATATTCATCTTCCTAAGAAACACTTCTCTTTAAGCAAATGTATGAGATTCTGTCACTGGTTCTTTAATAATTCCAGAAGTTGAGTGATTTACGCCAGACCTGGAGAGTGCTCTGTTTGCCTGCCATCTGTCCCAGCTAATCTCCGAATTCCATCTACGAATGCGGATGACTTACAACTTCCCTGATTAACGGCATCTATCATTTTCTTCGTAACGGAGCACAATTAATCTCGCCGGGTCCCAGGGGTCCGCCGCAGTAATAGGTTTGGGGAGAGAAGCAGCCCGCGAAAGTCCTTTTGGGAATAACGCCCTTTTTGTCCTTTTTAATTATTTTTTTTCAGCTCCTTTTTCTTTTCCTTCTTTCTCTTTCACTTACACTGCACACCCCCCCCCCCCCCCCCCTTTTCCTTGTTTCACACCCCTGAGGCCAGCGCTAGGAGTTCCCTGACCACACTCTTTCCGTGCGCCTAGGCGCAGTGCCTCTCCACCCTCCGTCTCTCCGTCCGTCCGTCCGTCCGTGGTAAGTTCGGATCGGGGCGGGGGGCAGGTGCCCGCTCGGGCCGGGAGGAGGAGTAAGAGGAGCCGCGGCCGCAGCTGCATTGCGGATGTAGCCGCTGGCTGGTGGGGAGGGGCGGCAGCGTGATGCTGGGGGGGGGGCGGTGCGGGGCACCAGCGGGCGCGGAGCCTGCGCCCCGCAACGAGAGGGAGCGGAGGATAGAAGGAGGGAGGTGCTGGTGCTGCCGCTGCGGCCCGGCGCGGCGCGGCGCGGCGCGGGAAGGGGAGGGGAGCGGAGCGGAGCGGAGCGGAGCAGAGCAGAGCGGTGACTGCTGACGGGGCAACGCGCAGTGCTGCCCTGCCGCTTTACGGCGCGTCTGCCTCGGGCTCACCCTACGCGGGCGCGGAAGAATACAGGACGACTTCGCAGTGACGGGAACTTGTGGCAGGTCCCGGAGCCGGGCTCTCACCTGCGCTTCCGTGCGCTTCTTCCTCTGCCGGCGCTCGGTGCGGTGCAGTGCGGGTCCGGGGTGCGAGCGAGCCGAGTTGTTCTGTAAGTCGGTGGGGTTTGTAGTGCAGTGGAGTGCAGAGGGAATCGGGTGTTGAGCTGGTAAAAGTGCTCGGGAATTTTCTTGCTGTTGTGGAGGGTCTAACAGCGGCTGCTTAGCTGCGGTTACACTCTTGGGGCGGAGGGGTGAAGCGAGCTAGCATGACATGAAGCCATGTCTATAAAAAGCAAAGACTAGGCTGGGCGCAAAGAAGCCGTCAGGAGAGGGTTGGTTTGCCAGGCCGCCCTGACCGACGCTTCGCCTTGGGAGTGAAGCTGTCAAATTGCTTCGTGAAAGCAAATAATTGCTGTCTCCGAAAGACATGAGATTAAAAAAAAAGTCTCGTTTGGCAGGGTAATATGTGCGTGTTTCAGGAGTTGGGATGCAGTTGCTGCCTTTTTGTATTGCCAGAAGTACAACTCTGTGCCTGGGGGCGTTCAGTCCGGTTCCTCACACCGTTACGGGGGGGTTTGTAATAGGACTGGGGAAGGTGCTGCGAGAGAAGTGAAAAGAGCAGAGGAGGTGGGGCAGGCTTGCATCTCATATGTTGGGAGTTCTGGGGGACTCTAGAACTGCCAAAAAGAAAGTAAAGAAAAAGGTATAATTAAACTAACTGAATAAGTCAGTGCTGTTGGCATAAAGTTAAATTCAAATTGATGCTGTTTTCTTCTAATAACTGGAGTCGAATGTAAGTCTGTGGTAATATGGAGGCTGAAAAATTAGTTCTGGGTTATGGATGTGGTTTTGTGTGTAGTAAGTGCTATTTTAATGTGTAACACAGGTTGGGATGCTTAATTCTAGGTTAAAATTTCTGACGTGGCTACATTTATCAGCTTATAAATCAGCACTGAGTTTGGAGCTGCCCTGCCAAAAGCTCTTTTAGCAGACTCTGGTATTTCATTAAAAATGCCCACTTTATCAGGTCATCTTTAGTTTTAGTGCTTGTCACAAAACTTATGAAGACTATTTCCCATTTATGTGTAAGTCACAGGACCTATCCTGGCCTTTCATAACTATACTCCTCTTTTCCTAAGATACTATTGAGAAAGCCTTTAATTCTGAAAGGTCTCTTGGAGGGCATCTGGAAGACAGTGAGACAAATGTTACCAAAGTTGCTTGAGAACAGCATGCTGTGCTTTGGGATAAGGTGATTTTTAGGAACACCTTGTCCACAATGTATTACTGTTTTGGCCCTAGTATTGACTTTATTTTGGAGTGACTTGGTTTCTTGGTTAAGGTCACTGGTATAATACAAGATAATACATAGAATCAACTAGGTTGGAAGAGACCTCTTAGATCATCAAGTCCAACTCTTACCCCAGCACTGCCAAGGCTACCCATGACACTGAGGGCCTTGTCTACAGAGTGTGTGAACACTTCAGGGATGGTGACTCCAGCCAGCACTGCTCTGGGCAGCCTGTTCCAATGCCTGGGCATCCTTTGGTGAAGGAACTAATCCTCATCTCCATCTAAACCTCCCCTGGTGCAGCTTGAGGCTGTTTGGGAGCAGAGACCAGCCCCCTCCTGGCTTCATCCTCCTGTATAATTTATGACTTCTTTTCTAAAATTAAGATTTATGTGACTGGGTAATTTTGTTTGACCTGTTCTGACTTGAGATTCAGCAGGACTATAGAGATGTTTCTTTTTCTTACCTGAAGTTACCAGAAGTTTCACTGTTTTTATGGCACCACTCTGCAGTAATGCAGGTTTTCTGGTGAGATGGCATGTGCTCTGCTTTGCCCCTTGGAAAGGATTGAGGCTTAATGTTGTCCATGACTAGTCTTTGTAAACTGAGGAATTTATTTGCTAATATCTTTAGCAACTATCTCTTTATTCCTGATGTTTTATAATTCATTTTATTGGGCAGTACAACATACCGGGAATTCCAGTTGTGGTTAGGCACTTGGATCTGCATGTATCTTCCCACACTGTGCATTTTGAGACAAGAGGGACTAGTGGGAAGCTGACAAAGTGATAATATTCTGACATAGTGATTCTATAGGCTATACATCATGTCAGTGTATTGTATATTACAGTGGTCGTAGGTAGTGGATTGTCCCAGCAGCCACGGGAGGAGGGGGAAGGGAACTAGAATTGCCTCAGTTAGGCCCTCCTTCAGATCCGCATGAGAACAGCCAAGTTTTTATTTGTATCCTGAAGCATGAATGTGGTCAGAGGAGAAAGGGATAATTTTAATGTTTAATTTTCACTTGATACTAAAAATCTTAAAGAATTAATGAATTCAACTGAAGTAGCCCAGTGCCGTGCTTTCCATTCTTAGTAGTTCCTTTGGTAACTACTCAGCGTGAGTGGGGTGAAATGTCACTTATTTTTCCTTGACCACTCTAAATTCTAAAGGTGCAGGTCACTGCTTTATGGAACTTTAAAATGTATAAAAAATTAATTCAGAATGTAATCAGAAAGAGAAAGCAGTTTAGTTTTTGTCTTGACAGCTTCAAAACTGTATTAAAGTAATTCTTATCCATATTATAGTCTACCTTCTCCAGCTCTGTTTCTTTAGAGTGAGAAGACAACATGGAGATAATACAAGGGATATATCCTGGGATTTGTTTCTTTAATAACATGAAAAAAAAAGTCTCCTTCATTACTGTCTTCACTTGCTTGTGACTTTTACCTGGCAGCGTTTGAAACCAGGATTAGATGTGTGGTGAAGGAGTTGCAGGAGAAGGTGAGCTAGAATGCTACTATGCACATACATCACAGGTTTCGGTCTGCTGTTCTGGATTGTTGTGATGTAAAAGTTACTCTCTTTCCTCCAAAAGTAGAGCTATTCATGAGCTAAATATATTCAATAATTTCATTGAGATGGTAGTTTTACTTCTCATAAGCAGAGCACTTATCAGAACTGTGCGCTGTCCTCAAACTACCGCAAGATACCCAAATAAGGCAAGAAGTGATTCTCAATTTTATTTCGGTTTGCAGACCACTATTTTTCAGTAGAATCATTTTTCAGTAGGCTGTCAGTAGGTCCATTTTTCTTAATTATGTATGTTAGACCTCTTGGAAGTTATTTGCTTATCACATATTGAAAATTACTATTGTAGAATTTGAGAATCCACTTTAACTTTCAGATGGTTGATGGTGTTGTGTGGATGTGTAGCAGCTTTCTTGAAATGTGAGTGAATACCCAGTCTCTTTCCACAGCTGCCCTTTTCCCCTCTGTTTCGTATTTGGCAAAAATGTTGTTATCACAAATTGATGCAATTGAGGCTTTGGAATGATGTTTTAATTAATTAATTAGTCCTCATATTCACACGTAATGTATGCAAGATTTGTTCTTGTAACTCGGGGGGGAAATAAAGGAAATATTCACCTGCACTGCCAAAGTAATGTAGCAATGGAAAATGTAAAAGCTAACTAACCTTACGAAGCCTGAGTGGAGAGGATTCTGAAAGATCTAATGAAAATATTAGTGTCATCTCACAACTTATGATGAGTTGAAATGTCCTCATCACTTATCTTGAAGCAGAAGTAACTTAAATTGCACCAGGTGCTGAGAAGAGCTAACAGGGTGGTCTGAATGTACAGTGACCCTGCCTTGTCATAAAGAGATAAAGGAGATCCTGACCAGTCAAGTGAAATGAAAGCTACGTAGGTATGGATTCCATCTGCAAACTCAAAGGGGATCAACGGAAGGGAAGCAGAAGCTTGTGATAAAGGTCCTTGGTGGCATGGGAGCAACTGAGTATCTACTGCACCGGTAAAACTTTCTTGCAGAAATTTGGAGAACCATCCTGCTGTTTGAGCACGTGGGTTCTGAAACACTCAGTGGCACAGAGAGGGGTGGGGAAATACTGGAAAGATTTTGAGATGGAGCTTGTTTATCTTCCAGAAGGGATTATATGCTTAACAGCGGCATGGGCCCAGGGAAATATTTGCATTTAGCTTTTGTCAAAGCTTTAAATGTCATGCCACTCAATGTGCCAGTCCAGTTCCCCTTGAGTCTGTTTAAAATGCAGCTTCAGAAGCCCTTCATTCTTTTTTGGTGCTTGCCAATGTTTAACCCCTCTCAAGTGACTTCTCTTCTGCATCAGTTTGAAGCTGCTTGTCTGTGCCTTAGCAGTTTAAAGCTGCATTGTGTACAGCCTGTCTCTCTATTGTTTCTTTTGCCTTCCCTTCAGCAGCCCTCAGGACTGCCTGAGGTGGGAGGTTCTCTTCAGAGAGAAACTCTTGTCTCATTCCTCAGTCTGTCCTTTGGACTGGCTGCCCCTCTGTATGGCCTGACACCCTCTTATAAATTCCTCCTGAAAACATGTAATATTCAAAATGGTTTCCCATCATGACCCTTTCGTAAAAGGAATATGAAAAAATGGGCAATGTAAACATTTTTTGACATTCTTCTTTCACCCTAAAATAGCAAGGGCAGCAAAGAAAGTGTCTGCAATAGTTGTGCTCAAACTGTGCTAACAGTGATGGAGAATTTGAAAGTAAAAGGGAAGACAAGTTTAGAAGAGCTTTAGTTGGGGAAATCTTGTTCTCTCTTTCTGTCTAGTGCAAAGAAAACTCCAGCTTGTTTTTGTGTGGCAAGCCAGCATCTTCACCAGAACTACTCATATTTCAGGTAATAGCACAGCCTTCCGTTTAGCTCTCAGTTGTTCCTTGCATATATCTTCTCATTGCAGAGGATATGCTGTAAAGTGTACAGTGTGTCCACTTAAAGTCAGGGCAGTTTGAGAAATACCATGCTGTCACTTGGAGGATGCTCGGGGAGCCCATATACTTTGGGAGTACTTGCCTGTCCCTTTGGGCAGAAATGAGTTTACTTCTAATATAACATTATTTAGTAGAAAGATACATTACATGAATAGTTTCAAATGTCATAGATTCCAGATGGAGCACCCCCTTTTTCCTGGTGCATTAGAAGATCAGTGGTGGCTGTGGTGTTATGGCAGTGGAAATCCAAAAGGCACCAGGCAGTTGAGTTTGAAGCATTGTCACCATCTCTCT